AGGACCAGACGTCCCACCCATGTCTCTGAAGCCAAAGCTCCATCTTTATCTTCAAGAAACATGGCAGCTGTGGTTTTTAGAGCAATTCCTGCATAGAAGGTGCTGGAAGAGGACTCTTCCACGCTATAATGCTGTGCATGTTCCCCCTGCACATTCTCCCCACCCCCCACCACTGTATACTCCTTTTCCCTCTCCCCACTACTCCCCATTCCCCCACTGCTCTTGCTGGAAGAAAAGCAACAGCTCTCCTGGAAGCCAGTGTTTCTTTAACTGGGACGTGCTTCAGCCTTGGTAGGGCGGACAGTGAGGGCATCTGCAGGTAGCAGGCAGCCCATCAGGCTGAGGGGAAAAGAAAGGCTGGCAGCATGCAGCCTCTGCCCACCAGCTGCTTTGTGCCCTTCAAACCGCAGACACCCCTCTCCCCTCCCGCCCCGATGAGCCACGGTGAAAGGGACTGCACAAACCCTTCTGTGAGCCATTCTGGTTAGGACATGGTAGTCTTAAAGTCTCTGTTATATTGTTTGCTTTTACTATGGTGACCTATGAAAGGACTTCCTGTCCTTGAAGAATAGCTGAATGGGCCAGTTTATTTCTATGTAAGATCGAGCCTTTAATCTCTTGACAGCACCCAGGCTGAGGTGGGAGAGGTGCGAATGGACATGGGTGCCGCTGTGTCTTGTGTCAGTCTGCTGTTAGCGTGAGGCAAAGTAAAGTAAAGTTTAAATGCCTCGTGAGTTGAAGAGAGGCAAACATACGAAATCTAGCTTTGAGTGAAGGATCCGCCCATGTGAGCCTCCTATCAACTACGAGCTTGAGAAAAGGGATAGAAAAGCTTCCTTCACCCAAGCAGTGATACCAACGTTGGCCCCTTCCAGGAGAAGCCTGCCTGAGGCGGGTCAAGTATCAAAGAAAGGTGCCTCTAAAGCGAAAATAACTGTAAATACATTTTGAGTATTTTGGATTGAGAAGTAAATAATACAGGATATGATATGTGACTTTTTCCATATTTATATTAATGGCCCGCTTAAATTTATGCTGCTTAAGGTCGGGTTGCCTCTTGGGAGGAGAATAGAGAGGAGTGTGATAGGCTGACTGTAATTGTAGCAGTTTTCCGCATCATTGCCCGAAATCTCTGAAAGGATCTGGGAGAGTGCACTGATTTTGTATTGCCGCGGAACAAATCATCCCCAAATCTGGTAGATTGATATGGTAACTATTTTATTTGCTTACAGTTCTGTGAGTCAAAAATTGGGAATGGGTTTAGCCAGGCAGTTCTCATGCTAGTCTCACTGTGGTCACACACAGGGCTGCAATCATCTGGTGGCTGGAAGGTGACCGGTCATTCTAAAATGAGTCACTTACCTCAGTTGGGGTTGGCTGCCAGCAGAGCAGCATGTATTTTAGGCTTTCTTGGGTTCCTTCACATGGTGGCGAGGTTCTAAAAACAGTAACTGATTGAGGAGAAACCCAATATGCAAGTGCTTTTCAAGCTTTTGCTTCGTGTCATGTTTGCTGGTGGTCCACTGGCCACATCATCATCTAGCCAGGTCCAGAGTTGTCCTGGGACGCAGCTACACGAGGGCATGGATGGATAACTGGAGACATGATTCACTGTAGGAAACTTTGCAGGAACAGTTTATTGTAGGTACATATTTGAAAATTAGAGTAAATGTGTTCAACTGCAGGTGTTAGGGTTCTGCAGTTACCTTCGCAGGGATTTTGTCACACGGAATGAAACTCACAGAGTATCATTCTCCCCCCCGCCGCCCCGCCCCAAGTACCCAAAGCTATCTCATCCCTTTCCCCTTTCTCATTCAAAAGGAACAAAATCTCAAATGTAAATTCTTTTCAGATGCTTATATGTGATTTGCTGCTCTCTTCCGGGAAGTAGATGATGTTTTTAGTTCTGGTGCCTAGGTAATGTTTCCATTTTCTCTGAATGGGTGCCCCCAGAGAATCAGTGCTTCTGAAATGACTGAGGAACTCAAAGACTAATGGAGGTTAACTAGAGTAGATGTTCCTATCCCACATTTAATAAAAATAGAGTAGAATTATGCAAGTATGTAGATAAGCTAATCATCTGACCTAATCAGCAATGCAGATTTTAAAAAGCCTTTCTAATTACTTCCTCAACTTGGCTGAAGGTATGGGTAAAAAGAGTTTCCCAGCATGATGGTAGCAGATGTATTTCATAATATTTATTGAAAATATTGGAAAGAAATCCTCAATTATGATGTTCCTGAAAAGTACATCAAAAAAGATATCATATTTAACATATTTTAAACTTTCATTAAGATATAAACATAATTTAGATGATCAACTCTCCCACCAGTTATTTGGAATCATTATTACAATTAGACTTTAGCTCTCAGAGCCAGATTGCTTATTGGTTAACTGCCTGTGTCTTCCCTGAGTTGTATTACTTATCCCTGAAAGCTCTAGTTCTCTTGGACAAAATGGGACCACCGGGATAGTCTCTGTTATTTAGCTGTTTGTTAATTTGGTATCTTGGCAAAGGAGTCCTAGTGCATGATGTTTCAACAACTTTAAATGTTAAGTTGCTGACATTTACAGGCATATGTAACACCACACAATATGTGATTTGGAAGCCTAGATAGATCTGATACTCATTTTCTTGGCAGAATTTGAGTAGTCATGAATGACTATCAAATGAATCATTCTACAATAGGGTTGCCCAAAAAGAAGCTATCTATGAATTCCTAGTTGAAATGCCTATATCAGTCCTGTGTGTTGTGCTACTTGAGTAGTAGTTGTTCATCTTTACCTTCCATTCTGTGAGCTGCTCAGTATCTTTCCAGCACATTCTGTTTAATAGAAGTTGGCCTGAGTGAGTTGCTGTTTCCTGCAGTCAAAATAAATCTTAAACGATTGGGTGCTTTCAGTGTCTTTGGAGTGACTGCATGCTTAAGTAGCTCTCTGTTATCAGATGCTTGTGGACCTGGTTACTTTCCTCTACAAAGTGTTTCTCCAACATCCGTCTTCTAGGGAATCTTCTTTAGAGATGAGATGGAAAATAAACAGTGTTTTGTGTCAGACAAGGACAACATTCAAAAACTCTTAATGAGTGTCACTGCATGATTCCTGGCATTTGAGAAAGTGAATGTTGCATTTTGGAGAAGTTGTGAATGCTGAGTCATATGACAGTGACTTGTTTTATTTGAGGACAGGGCCAGAAAATATAGATAATCCAATATATAGTCTAATTTATTGGCTAGTGGCTTTGAAACTACAATGTAGTTATACAACTGAAAGTCATAAGATGTGACACTTCTGTATGCCCAGACTCTTAAATCTCTACATCACAGTTTCTCAACTTGGGTGCTTTTGGCATTTCAGATTGGATAATTCTCTGTCTTGGGGGACTGATTATCCTGTGTATTGTAGGATATCTAGCACCATCTTTGATTCGTGCCCACTAGATGCCAGGAGCATCCCCTTCCCCTGGAGTCATGACAAATCAGACTGTGACAGGCCAGACGTTGCCAAATGTCTCTTGGGGGAAGGCAAGCAATTTTTTCCTTGGTTGAGGACCACTGCTTTAGATTATTTGAATTATTTCCTTTTTCAGCTAACATTTACGAAGCACTTCCTTTGTTAAAAATACATTTTGGTATGTTTATATTTATAGGCAGTATGTACGTCAAATACACTAAGGCAGTAGGTTCAACAGATATAAGTTCCTTCCTAACCAAGTGTAGTTAGAAATATGTTGGAACTCTCTAGGTTTTTCTGTTCATATTGTAAGTATTAGGTAGAATCACGAGAAATTGTCTTTTTGTGGGTAAAAAAAAAATGGTGAAATATCAACATTTCCCAGTGTTTCTACCTAATGTACAATTTACAGTAACAGAAAAATGATTTGAGAAAAAAAAAATTATAAACGTACCCAGATGTCATTGTAACCATGATTTTAAGTGCATTTTGCTTTCCTTTGTAAGCAGCGGTGGTTTTAGAAATCCCTCATAGGCAGTTGGAAGAGCAGCAGTGTGGCTGCAGCTGGCTGGGGCTGAAGTCATATATTTTAATAATGTGATTGCATAGCTTGTGCTGTACTTTTAATTTAGAAGCTGTGCTTATTTTGTGCTTGAGGTGAGATCTGATGGAAATCCTAGACAGTGGTGCGGTGGATGCTAAAACTGTTCATAGAGAGGAGGAATGGAAATGAGATCTAAATTTTAAAAATATGCATTCACATATTAAATGTTGATGGTAATCCTTTCATTTCGAAAGATCCGATGGTCTCGGTCAACAGGGGTCACAGAACATCAGGCTATTTCTTGCTTTGTTGGCAAGTTCACGGCGGGAGGAGAATCGTATCTGGAAATACCTTTCTGAAAAATAAAATCGGAATGGAGATGAACACTTTCTAGCACATAAAACATATATTTAAAATGCTGCTACTTCTGTCATTTTTGTGTGCTAAGATCTCCACTTAGAACCATAATGAACTGTGAGACAGTATCCACTGAAGTATGAAAAATACCTAAAACTTCATGCTAGTCTTGTAAACCTTGTTCTTCCTTGAGCTTATTAAGAGAGCTGTAGGCAGATAAAATCTCCTCTCCCTTGGCTCCCCACCTTCCAGGGAATGTGCTAACGAGCAGTGAAATGGCCAGAACTCTGGCAGCAGAAGCAAGAAGGAAGAGCCAGGGGGTTGCACGGTAACTCACAAGCTACCTAATCAGTTTCTGACCACTCAGGAGTTGGTAAGGTTGTGGATTTTATCGTTTCTATTCTGTAATCGTCCCCTGAAACTGTTGAGAGCTGATGGAGATTCTGTAAATCAAATGAACAAGGGAAAAAAGTCAGTAAATGCTCAGTACATAAAATGCACCACTTTCACAAATTCCTGGGATTTCTGGAGAAGTCCATGTGCGCGATAGGCACAGAAGAGAGATGCCATGCTTGATGTTGGTCCAGGACAAGGTTAACTTTCTGCACACTAATTTTAATTCATTATATATGCCTTTTTTTCCCAGCACAAATGGACCCCCGAGGCCTATCTCCCAGACAAAGTAAAAGTGACAGTGACGATGATGACCTGCCAAATGTGACCTTAGATAGCGTTAATGAGACTGGATCTACGGCCCTTTCCATAGCCAGAGCAGTACAAGAGTAAGTACCACGTTCTCAGGATGAACTAAGACTCGCCAAGGTGTTCAGTGGGTAATGGAAGCAGCAGTACCTCCTGTTCCCAGGACTTGTCCTTCTAGCTCGGGACGGGCTCACGCGTCAGCATCCTTCCATCCAGGCTTACGTTCTTTGGGGGCAGATTAGGGGAAAGCATGAAGTATTTTACATAGTTGAAAATCTGTGCTTTTATTAGAATTGAGGCTTCTGTGCATCTTTCCTAATAACTCCTACCTCTTCTTAACTCTGAAAAAAATATATTGTTCTTTTTCAATGTCACCATCCAATTATTATCAATATTGTTATTATTCATATGCAACAGTCAAGAGAAATAAAATAAGACAAGTATTATGATCTTGTTTTGATAGGAAAGTACAGAAGAGCTTTTTTGAAATTTTGAATTTGGAAGACAATGTTTCACCACTTTGAAAAATCAGAATCGTGGGTAATTTTTAAAGAGATCTTTTCTCTTTCCTTTTATCCAGACCCTAGAGTTAGATTTCATCCTTGTTAATTGAAGATAGTTGCTTTTCCATCATTGTCGATTCTGTATCTAGAACTGAACCTATGGCTAGTCCTTGTATATTTTTTCTCTGGAATAGCTTTTAATAACATAATCTTATGTAAGAGTAGGAGTTAAATAGCCACACATGAGTTAGCAGTTCACTCAAAATGATCTTAGTCACTTCCCATATTTTAATTCCTTTTCCCAAATATTGACTAAGTACTGACTCTGCTCTGAGCATTAGTCTTTGAAATCTTTAAACAACACACACACACATCAGTATGGCATTTTAGAATTTAAAGCATATGCGTGTATGTGTGTGTGTAAAATGAATCATACATTTCTATGTTCGATAGGTAATACATGTATAATATTTATATGATGTGTTTGTGCACAAATACAAATATATATGGTATATTAGGGGAAACAGGATATAATGGATCTAAAATGAAATTTGGAGTCAAAAACATTTGAATTCAAATTTACATTTAAGCTCTTAGTGGTTGTGTGACTTTTGGCAAGTTATTTAACCACTCTGAGATTTTCAGAAAATCAGAATACTTACCTTATAGCCCTGTTATGGATGTAATATAGTTATAAGATATAAAAATCAAGTCACAGAGTTTTGGCACATAGAAGGCTTCAATTAACTATAGAATTAGTATTATAATTATAGTAATAGTGTATACTATATGACAACTAGGAAATTAAAATGTGGCAAATATTGTTACTCTAATTGTACGAATGAAGACACTCAGAATCAGAGAAGTTAAATGACTCCTGCAAAGTCATATACTAAGTAGTAGCAAGACAAAGGTTTGGACTTCTGACTCCCAGAACAGATCTTTTCCTAAGAGTACCTGTCATGTTTGTTTCCAATAATATTCTTTCACTTCAACACCTATAAAAAGCATTTTTTCACTCCTTTGTTCAAATAACTGGTTATAGTCACTTAGTTTCTCCAAAGCAAGTGTTCATTTGAGCCAAGACAGGCATTGAATCAAAGGGGTTGCTGAAATCATGTTTAAAATTGTGTCATGCTGAGTCACCTCATCTCTAATTCAGTGATCAGCAGAGTTAATATGGTTTTGTGTGACCTAAATCTTAAGATCCATCTTTAAAATTAGACTAAATGATGACAAATTTCAATTCTAAGATGAATAGTAGGTTTCAGAGACATTTTAGTCATACTGTTTTCCTGTATCATTATAATACATGTATAGTGTGTGTGTGTGTGTGTGTGTGTGTGTGTGTGTGTTTACACAGGTGGGTGTGTTTCTTTTAATTCAAACTTTAAAGTTGGGAACTATAACTACGAAAATCTAAAGTATGTTTACTTTATTTGGGACTTAGATAGCAAATAATGATATTAGCTTTTTAAACATAACTATTTTTTCTTTTAATATTATGTGCTTATAATATATAGTGTATTTTAATGTGAAACGTTTAATAGCCTCAAGAACTAGAGCCTCATTTTCAGCCTAACCTCTCTGGCTTTCTTTGTGAAAACATTTTCAAGCCACAGTATCTTGTATAACTGCGTATGCCTGCCTTTTACAAAAGTTGCCTGTGTATCTAGGGAAATGCCAGATTCATTATTCATGTAAGTGTTTTCATTAAACGATTAGTAAAGAATACTGAGCCGTCACCTGGGAAGCCAAGAACGCCAGGACCCATCAATAGTTAATTAAGTCTCATTCAGGACTCAGTGTGTGTATGTAAACACCAGGAAGTGAGAAGATAGCGTTAGATGAAGCAAAGAGAATGCTCTGCAGAGACCTCTTAAATATGGGTGTATTTCAAAACTTACAGTAATACACTGAGGAAAATTTTATTCTGGGACAAATAAATATATAATCCTTGTTAGACATTTAAAAAAAAAATCTGTACTTAAGTTTACCCTAACCTACCCTTAGGTTTAAACCTAAGTACAGATTTTTTTTTAAGTGTCTAACAAGGATTATATTTAAGTGTATAGAGTTGTCAGCACGTCTTTCTGCTCCTCTCTTAGTTTCTCCTTGATTCTTTAATACATATTGCTGTTGGTGATTTTCTGTTTCTCTTTTCCTGTTTGCCTTTGGATCTTGATGCCTTCTATTAACGCAAAAGCTGTCAAACAAACAAAAATTCCAGTGTACTATGATCAATAAAATAATGCATTAAATAATAAAAGTGTAAAACATCAGCTTGGCACATACAAGATGAGAGGATTTCAAAAAACACCTGTTGACCTCTTCCCTGTACTTGGCAAAACTCTCCTGAGAGAGTCAGATGGGGAAGTGTGTCTGTGGGTAGAGAGGCAATCGCATCGAAGGTTTATGTTTATTAGAGGTAGCATACTTTAAAGGCCTTGGGCAGCCAGTACATATTTGGCTTTCCAATCAAAGGCAAAAGGAGTCATGGTTTAGGAAGGGTTCAAAGGCTGGCCTCTTAATTCATTGGCCACCAGTGAAGTGTCAATCAAAGAGAAGAGGAAGATGGGGCGCCTGAGTGGCTCAGTTGGTTAAGCGACTGCCTTCAGCTCAGGTCATGATCCCGGAGTCCCAGGATCGAGTCCCGCATTAGGCTCCCGGCTCAGCGGGGAGTCTGCTTCTCCCTCTGACCCTCTCCCCTCTCATGCTTTCTCTCTCTCTCAAATAAATAAATAAAATCTTTAAAAAAAAAAAAAGAGGAAGATGAAGGAGGATGTTCGGGAAGATTGACACTAGAAATGGATGAAACTACCTTGTCCTTGACTTGTCCCTACAAGATGCTAACCTTTGTCTTCTTTCCCATTCAGGTTCATAGTCCTGTCAATAATCATTATAGTTTGAGTTTTTAATTAGGTAATTTACTTTATTGACATTGGTATATCTACATAGCATAAACCTTAATATACTAATACTTTTTTTTTTCTAAATGCCTGTTATGCATGTTACTTTTTTTTTTTTTTTAGATTTATTTATTTGGAGGGTGGGAGGGGAAGAGGGAGAGGGCAAGGGCTGAGCAGGGAGCCTGCCATGGGGGCTGGATCTCAGCACCCTGAGATCATGATCTGAGACGAAAGCAAGAGTTGGGCGCTTAGCTGACTCTGTCACCCAGGCAATGCCCTTGCATTTTACTTGTTTTTAAAATGAACTTTTAATTTTTTAGTTTAAGAAACATTTCCTTTGATTTGAAATGCAGAAGTTGTTAGCCAAAATTACATCCTCCCCCCAGATATCAGATATTCCTGTATTTAAATAAAAAAGAACATCACTTGGTACTAGAGCAACAACCTGAGGTCACTTTGATGTGTATAGATTTATATAGTGAGGTTCCTGAACTGTGCTTGAACTAATCATTTCAACCATTTTCAATAATTCGCTTGATTATCGTTTATTGGCTCAGGTCAGTGAATTCAAATACAGTGGAAAAAGCCACAGACAGGCCCACACACATGCTCAGCCCTTTTCTTGTTTTAATTGTGCAGATACTGTCCAAGTCAGAAACCATGTGTTCAGTAATTCTGACAAAGCCAACTTCCAGCAATTCATAAAACATCTGTTTTGTTTTGGTCTGGGTTTTTTTTCCCCCCCAATGGTAAAATAGGGTCATTACCCCTTAACAACTTGACAAACATAATTATGAAATAAGTGTTTGGAAAAAGAGAAGTACAGGCGCATGATTAGAGCAAATTATTGTAATTACCTCTCACTCCAGGCAAAACAATGATATTTTTTTAAATAGGTACATTTTGGCTGTGTTACCCAGACCCTCCTTTTTAATTCTTTTTCTCTAATTCCAAACATTCATACTCCTCATTTGTTAACAGGAGTAGAATAATCAACTTCATATAAACTAAAGTGTAAGTGAATGAGAATATCTCCGGAGAGAAATTTCAATGTAACCAGGAACAAACCTTAAACTAAACGAATAAGGATCTAGATACAGGCATCCCCCGTTTTCCTAAATTCCCATTATGCCACTTTGTTTTTATGAAAGACCTCTGTTAGCACCTATTTTTGCTAGCTGAAAGAAAGCCAAAGAGGATTTTCATCTTTACAAAAAGAGGTGAACAGCAAAAATAGTGTTCAGTATTTTTTTTGCAGTAAGCCCTTAGAGAGGCAGCACAACTCTAAGCAGGGAGAGCGGCTCGCCAGGCTCCCTCCCGGGGAACCACACCCAGCATCTCAGCACCAAGCTACCAGAGCTTTGAGCTGTGTCTGTGAGCAGCCTTGCTTTATCTCAGTTTCTTGTGTGCCTCCATTAGCCAGATGTGTCCTCCGGCATCACAAAGGCCTCAGAGGTTATTTTGGGGGTCTGGGAATGCTCAAAAACTTTTCCATATAAGTTAATGGTCATTGCCTCTTTGCTCTGTGCCATTTTGGCTTACGATAGGGGAACGTTCTACTTTTGGATAGTGGTGGAAACCTGTATAATACTTTCAGTAAGAGTGAGATGGGAAAGGGTAGAGTAGAGGGTGAGGGAAGCAGATGAAGATGTTAAGGACATATACCTG